GGGGGGGGGAACTAAGCTTTTCCTTAGTTTACACATTTCCCAGGAGAAATTGATAAGTCGGTCTGTTCAAGGCAAGACGGGGAGTCAGACTCACATAATCCACAATTGTTGATTTATTCAGGCAGACTATTTTTTTGTCAGCCTTGAGTCATACCGATACTTCCAAGGTCTGAAATGGTCAGATTAGGGTGCATTCTACTGGTCCGTGCTTACGAGTCTCTTCAAGGTCGTTTTCATGCTGACAAGTCCCAAAGCCGCAGGTGGCCTGTGATTCAAATCGCTCCAACTTATGGTTTCGCTCGTAAATCAGCTGATTTTCGGTCCTCAAAGCACGAACCAAACATTCACAAGCAGGCAGCCGGACGAGGTCCAAATTAGCTGCAGCCATCTTTGTACGTTGATAAACCAGGATCCAGACTATTTCAAAAACAGGAAACCTGTTATCATAAATCCAATTATATGCAATGTCGGAGTCCTCGATCAACAACAGAGATAGACACATCACCCCCCGAGATTTATCCAGCTGCATGCGTGTCGTCCGAGCAGATGAGGGTTCTCCAGGACCCTGTTGCTTTGTTGAAAAGACATTAAAAGATGTAGTTGGAAGTAAAGCGTGCAAAGACATAACACACAGCCGAATGGGGTCCCTCCGAGGCTGAGTTTTTTATTTGATTAATATTTACCAGGCTAGAGAAAACAGAATAAAAAAAATTTAAAATCGCCTTGGAAAAAAGCAGGATGGGTGGTAATTAAAGCACAGAGGCTGGTATAAACTAGAGCTGATAAAGTTCATTAAACATGTTGCACAGCATCAGCCCAGTCAGAACTGAACTGATCCCCCAAACTGAGATCTTTCGAAGAACCATCTACAACAGGTAAGATGTTACTGTTCATAACGTTTCCACAGAACCCCAAAGTATTTGAAATATTCCCTAAATTGTGTAAAGTATGCCTATGGATTACTAAACTAGTGCATTTTACATTTAATCAAAGAGCTAAAATATCTAAATCATTTGGAGTTTAATCAACATTTTAAATGGAATCAGATGAATTTGCAATCGATTATTTCTGGCTTCACTCTAAGGGCAGAATTATAAAACTAAAATGAAAAACGTTTAAATAAATCGTCAGATAAGGAAAAACAAAAAGCAATATTATTTTGTTGTGTCTGCTGTTTTCACCTGCCTTCATGAATACCCTCCTGTGTCACTGTAACCTCACTGCACTGACTTCGTGTGTTTACTTAAAGAGGACGGGATCGATCGGTCGCCATGTCCCCTTGTAATCTTGTAAACAACTCTGCGTCTCCACCGCTTGCTGTTTGAGCGCAGAGCACACGCCGACTCGCCTGCTCATCGGTAAGCTCAGTTACAGAAACATCACACTGGAACCTGTAGCATTTGGTTCAATGTAAAAAATAAAAAAAGAGAATGCAGCAAAACTCACTGAGGACGACTCACATGATCAGATGACGTCCACGCACATCTGGTTTTAGGTAGCATGACTTGTATGTTTTATTCTTGAACATTTATATTCAACAAAGTGATATATTTTCCAACTACCGTTTACTGTTCCCACTAGTGGTTTAAAGCAGCAAGCAGTGACGGTGATGATTACACACTAAGAACTGTCCCAGCAGAAGGAGGGCCTAATAAAACTTACACTTTATAATAAAGAGGTGTTGCCTTGGATTACTGCTAAAAACTGCTGTCATGTGAAATTAACTATATTGTCTTACTATTATTGAAAGCCAGTTTATGAGTGCAGGAATCAACAAGAAACATCTTCATTTACCATGTGACTCACACTGAACCCGACCTGGACTACCCCCGCAGGTAGTGGGCCTAGTGGAGGTGGATTCTTGGAGGTTTATTGGGGCCTGGCCCAGCCAAGACCCAGAGAGCTGAGGATACCGTTTGGATCTACAGGTGTGGTCAACCTGCCTGCAGGAATGTTTGACAGGAGAGGAAAATATATATGTTGCTTTACTTCTATCGTTTTTACCTTGAAATGAAGAAGACGAGTGCACCGTGTTATTTTGGGAAGCGGAGTTGTACTGCAGCTGGAGCTGAGGCAGCAGAGCCAGAGAAGCACGGTAACCTGACGATGAGCACAGACCTTGGCAGCCACGGACTGTTTGGATGTCGAGTGAGATGACAATGAGGTGCAGTTAATTAAAGAGCTTCTCTTTGTTTCTGCCTCCATGCAGGCAGCTCCTTTAGGCATCGTTAAACCTTTGAAATCTGTCTCTGCATCGCTGCTGCTGAACAGATTTATGACTCTAGGAAGCGATGTAAAACTCAAAGTGCAATGCTTACTCAGTCAAACGTATCTAAAAGCAGCACATGCTGTATGATGGGAAGAACAGAGGCAGCGGGGTTGGAGAGAATAAACACAAAAACATGGCGTCTCTCTCTGAATGAAGAGCTTGGTTGCCTCTCTTTCCAAGCTGAAAAGGTTTCGATTAATTACAAGAATCAACGGTTGACAGAATCTGCTGCAAGTTTTCAGCCTGATTAACATAAATCACAGTTCAGGTGCAGCACAGAGACCGAGAGCCTGCAGGGAACTGCTGCTCAGGACCACGCCCACTCTCCGACAGGTTTTTAACGAGAGGATTATTAGTTATTCGTTCTTTTCTTCCACAGGAGGACTCAGTTACACTGTGCACATACTGTATTTCATATTATTGCGTATTATCACTAAAATTTGCAACATCTTATCTCAAAATGATGCAGAAAAACTGGTCCATGCATTTGTCACATCTAGACTGGACTATTGCAATGGTTTATTATCTGGGTGTCCAAATACGTCTTTAAAACATCTTCAGTTGATACAAAATGCTGCTGCCAGAGTCTTAACTGGAGTTAGTGGGAGAGATCATATCTCTCCAGTTTTATCTTCTCTC